CTGTTCGGCCACTAAATGGCCCTGTCCCACATCAGTCCAAGGAAACCATCCATTGTACCCCAAAGCTCTTGGTCCTGCCTCTGCCATCTCTCATTGGACAAGGTTTCAACCATCTCTACAAGCTAAACCCCTAAGACACCAAGCTGCAGAAATAGAAGGACTGTATAAAGCCCACAAGGGACACCATCCTACTGCAGAGGCCCACTCTCCACTATGCAGCAAGCCTGACCCCACACGGGTGAGCAGAGTGGGGGAGGGAGATGGGATTTGGGGGTAAGTAGGCAGGGATAGAGTGATCCAGAGGAAGGGGCAGCTGAGACCCTCATTCCAACCTTTAGTCTACAGAGGACTACAAAGAATCCAAAGCTCCCACAAAGAACATGCAGGAGGAAGGTGAAGGCTGGATCCTGGTACCAACCAGGAAGCAGTGTCTCCCAGGAAGAGATATCACAGTACTGACAACTTCCAGATCATCTTGCAGGAGAGTCTGGAGCAGAGACAATGATGTGTCAGTGACAGGTGGGGCCACACTGTGACCCAGACTGCTCAGCCATGCAACCTCTTACCCCCCTTTTAAACCAAACTCTACATTAGTACATTAGTATAAAGATGGACCGGGAGGGACCACTGAAGCCTTTTGTCTGTTCCTCTTTCAATGTGGCCACGCTGAATAATTCTCTTTTCTCTGTTTTTCATTACCCGTATCTTTAGTTGGTGTATCGGACACCAACAGTCAAGCCTGTCTTGTTGGGGCCTCCAAAGCCCAGTCAACTACTCTGAATGTTCTGGTAATATCAGATGCCTTTTAGAAGTCTGGAACACGGTGCCATAAAACCTGACAGACAGTAAGATGCCTAAAGGAGACAGAGCCAAAATGAAGGCAGAATGCCAGGCTGGCATTCTCCCCCTGTCAAGGGGCAGCCCTGCTTATACACTGAAGGCATACAATCAGACATAGGCCTAAAAACAGCAATAGGCCTGACATATATGCCTGCTAACACAAAGTCTTGGGTCTCTGTGGAAAAACACTGAAACAGATAGCTAGAAGCTATTATAAACAAGCAGCTTTGGTGGAAAATTGCCAGGCTAAATACACAGACCGTGTAGCTAGGTAGCCTTGGTGGATAGTACCAACTTAGATAAGGACAAGTGAATCATAGGTGGAGTCATAGTGGTCTGTCCCCTGAACTTTCACCCAGCTGACACTCTGTTCTGGAAGATATCTGTACTCCTCTGGAACACCTACGCTCCTGTGTCATCCCCTTCCCCACATCCTGCCTTTTTGTGTATATAACCCCTGTGTGAAAAAGTAAAATTTTCTATTTGATCAGACTATAGATAGATAACCATTCTTTTCGTTCGCCTGTTTTCCCCATCTTCCCTTTCAGGTGACCTCCCCAGACCCCAGTTTAATGCCCTGCTGGAAAGGGGACACACACACACACACACACACACACACACACACTTAGTTATCTTGTGTGCCCAGTGAGCCAATGTAAGGGTAGTTTCTCAATGCCTGCTCTATGGTCATGGACAAGAAAGTTTCACTTTTTTTCAGACAGGGTCTCGTGCAGTCCAGACTGACCTTGAACTCTCAGACACTCTGCCCATCCTCCTCCTTCCCACAGCCAAGAGCTGGGATTACAGGTGGACACTACCAAACACTTTTCTTTTCTTTTTCTTAATTTTTAATTTTATTTTTTTGGAATTTTTGGGACAGGGTTTCTCTGTATAGCCCTGGCTGTCCTGGAACTCACTCTGTAGACCAGGCTGGCCTCGAACTCAGAAATCCGCCTGCCTCTGCCTCCAAGTGCTGGGATTAAAGGCGTGCGCCACCACCGCCCGGCTCCAAACACTTTCCTAAACCAGGCTAAACATTCTCATCTGAACAAATAGCATAGCGGTGCTTGGGGTTGTTGGGGGGGCACTCGCTCCCCTGCACCTCAGGATGAAGCAGGGGTGGTAACAGAGCCATAGCTGTACAATCTTACCTGCCTGGACCTAGCGCTGATGGGGTTAGAGGGACATGCGCCCCACCTTGGTCAGTTTCTTTCTACCCACGAGTCATCCTCAGGCTCCCATGCTCCCTTAGAGAGGTACTACGCAGGAACAAGGGCAGGCCAGGGAGCTGCCAAAAGCCCAGGACCCAGGAGTTGTGGTCATTCCCTCCTCTCACTGTGAGCAGAGCTCTCATGCCCAAGTAATTCCAGCCTAATGCTGAAGGAGCCCCAGCATCTTAAACAGAGGCTTGGACTGAGGGGACTCTTTATCCAGAGACCCAGAAAATCCATGAAAAGGCCCTGCCACCCCCAGTAGGATGTAAAGGTAAGAATCTACTGGTCAAATGATAAATCTTTTTTTTTTTTGGGCGGGGGTCAAGACACGGTTTCTCTGTGTAGCCCTGGCTGTCCTGGAACTCACTCTGTAGACCAGGCTGGCCTCGAACTCAGAAATCAGCTTGCCTCTGCCTCCCAAGTGCTGGGATTAAAGGCGTGTACCACCACTGCCCAGCCAAATGATAAATCTTGAGGATGTTCCAGGGGTTTCAGGCCATGAGGACACCCTTATGGGTTGGCTTTGGACCCTACTTCCTGTTTCCCTAGTAACACCAGAAAGGTAATCAGCAGTTCTATTATTCATCAGGACTTAAATTGCCATATAGGAGTTGGAGAGATGGCTCAGAGGTTAAGGTTAAAACCCTTTTAGTTTTCCAGAGGATCCAAGTTCATTTCTCAGCTACTCCATCAGGTGGCTCTCACACACCTCTAATTCCAGTTCGAGACTCGGGGCTACTGCATGCACACAAGCTCACACAGGAAATATGCACCCACATAAGTAAGATAAATAATCATTATTTTAAGTTAAAAATAATGTCTGGTGCTAGCAAGCCTGCAAGGAATTTTTCCTGGTCACACCAAATGCTCTGGCCATTTGTGCTAAACACCCAAGAGTATTATCACAAAAGTGAAGTCAAATACACAGCCATAGCACAATAGAGCTGACCCTGGTGGCAGGGGCACAGGAGAGTTGGCCCTGACAGTTGTCTGCTGTGAAGTAGCCTGGGATGGGGAGTGGAGTGGGGGGACAAGGGGCCATGCCCTCTGCCCCCTCACCCTTGCCACCTGAGGCAGTTGGGAGAGCTGACCCCGAGGTCATGAGAGCTGGAGAGCTGGTCCTGCCCCTCACTGGCTGCAGCACTCAGGAGAGTGGGCCCTGCACCTCACCTGGGCAGCACAGTGGAGCTGGCTCTAGAACCATGGTGTGGATGAGCTGGCCCCATGAGAGCAGGAGAGCTGACCCCGCCTCCTTCGGATGGAGGCGTTGGGTGGCCTATTGGGATCAGTGCTGGAGAACTTACATTGGTGGTGCTGACGGGGAGATCTGTGGGCTGACCAGCTCAGCTACCACCCAGGCCCAGATCCTGGTCTGTGAATTGGCCCACCCCAAAATCTGTATCATCTGTGAAGGATTGAGGTGTGTGAAAGGGCCAGCCCTGCTGTTCCAAAGCTGCAGGATCTCCATGACACAGGGCAACAACAGGAAAACTGGGAGGAGTTCCAATGAGAACCCAATATTGATGGTGTGGCAGAAGCCAGAGATCTTGAACCAGACCAATGACTCATTGCAAAGAACATTTGCAAGTGACGATGTGTGGACAGAGGGATAGACTGTGGTACACAGTACGGCTTCCATGATGAACATTTTCTATGCTTTGTTTTTGTTGGTGGTAGTCTCTGTGTGTGCGCACATGCTAGAGAGAGAGAGCACACTTGTGCTTGTGTTTTATTTGGGGGAGAAGGGTGAAGGGTGGATATGAGAGAACTGGGGTGCAGGATATGAAACTCACAAAGAGTCAATAAAGAGTTTTTTAAAACATACTTGAAGGAGATATGAGGAAGGCAGGTACTAGAAACATTTTGTGTTTATTTGTTTTAATTTGGGTACTGGTCATGATTACATGGGGGAGTAGAGTTTATGAAGATTCTTTTGGCTTCACCCTTATGTATAATTTCCTGCATGTGCATCATATTTTAATAGGGTCTTATTTATTTTCATTAATATATTTTTGTTTTAGTGTAGAGGTGGTTTTAGTGTATTTAGTGTTTTGGTGTGTGTGCGTTCGTGTGTGTGTGTGAATGCCCTTGTGTGTACATGGCAGTCAGAGGTCAACCTCATTTGCTATGTGTCTTCGGAGCTCCACTCCCCCAACCCTGGGCCCCCGACCTGTCCAGCCCTGGTCACCTACTCTACTAGGAGTCCACAGATTAGACTAAGAGGCTGGTGAGTTTTGGGGATCCACCTGTCTCTAGTCACACCCCCCAGTGTTTTACATGGGTGCTGGGCACCTGAACTTGGGTCCTCAGGCTTGCCCTGCAGACGTTTTACAGACCGAGCCATTCCCCAGACCCCACGTTTAGTGTGTGTGTATGTGTGTATTTTGCAAGTGTGGTCATATTTGTGCCACAGGACGTACGTGGAGGGAGGTGAAGAACAGTTTTTGCGAGTTGGCTCTCTCCTTCCACCTTTATACAGGGTTCTGGGGTTCGAACTTGGGTGCTACTCTAAGCCATCTGGGCAGTTTAAGGTTTGGGGCCTCTAGTCTAGGCTGTCTTAAACTTCTGATCCTCTTGCCTCACAGCCTCTTAAGTGTTGGGATTTCAGATGCGTGCCCTCACGCACGGGGCAGTCAGTAAGATTTTCATTAAAAAATATTTTGTCATAGTCCATAGTTTGGTTTTTTTTTTTATAATAGTATTGCTCAAGAAGGAAAACATGGAACCCACCTCAATACTCGTAGTTCACGGGGTCCTGCTTCCAAGTAATTAATGGAATTATTTCCACCCCTTCCCTTCTGTTTAGACAATCCTGGTGAAACGCTAGAGACCGGTTGTTCCAGGAAAGGGGTCTGGATGTAGAGGAGTACGCACTCTCAATTGGTTACCACAACGGTCCGCCCACCCTGCGCCAGTAGGTGTCATGTGACCACAGAGTCAGCTGACCTGGGTCAAGCCGGAAGAAGTCCTGGATTGAGTGTCCTGACATCATGGTGAGGGATTGGGGAAGATGGGAAACAGGGTTCTCGGGCGAGAAAGGGGTTCGGTGGCTCTGGGAGCGTAAGGAGACGATCTTCACTGGCGCCTGCCTGGGTGCGGCGGGACGGCGGAGTCCGCAGGCGCAGCCGCGCTTCCCCGCGTCCATCCCCGGGCCGCAGGGTCCCACCTCCCGGGGTCGCCCACTTCCCCGGCTGACGGGTGACAAGACGAGAACATGCTTAGGACTGGTTAGGAAGCCTCTCCTCACTTTCCAGAGCCAGGGAGTGGTTTTTGGATTGAGTTGAGCTGATTCACACGTCCATTCATTAAGGGAATGGCGTGTTGAGTGGTCAGCCCCTACAGGCGTCGGGATTGCAGCTGCAAAAGGGCAGGGCAAATCAGAAGCAAGAATTGGCAGGTGTAGGTCTTTCTCCAACCGAGGAGGCTTGCCTGAACCGTGATGCAGCCCCGTGAAGGTTTGTGTTACCCGGATGAGAAGCAGAGGCAGCGGAAGAGTGTCCTCAGACAAACAGGCGTGCAGCGTCTGAAAAAGCCCGACTCCCTGAGAGTACACATCCTGTCTCGCTAGAGCTTGGTGAAGTTCAGGCGAGACAAGCAAAGATTAAGTCTTGCTGGCACTTGCATCACCATTATCAAAATAACGAGCATTCCCTCTGGCTGTCCAGAGTGCTTTGTTAACTAGATTATGGGCAGTAGAATCTGATGCTGTAGTTCAGTGGTAGATGTGCCCAAGGCTGACTGAGCCCCGGCACTGCCAACAACAAGCCCACAAAAGCCTAGGATCAGGAAGGACCCAGCAAAGGTGAAGGCAGGAGTGGGGCTGCGGTAACAAGTAGCATCAGGCAAGTTGTAGCTGGAGCACGGGCGGACACTTAAGGAGAACTGCCACCGATTGTTGTCTGTTGAGCAGAGAGAGTAAAAGAACGAGATCAGTTGGCAGTGTGGGCAGGGAGTACTCACGACAGTCTGGACATAGAGGAGAACAGGCGACCAGAGAGTACTTGTTAATGGCCACACCTGAGCCCTACCGGCAGCCTGACTTCCTACCTTACTGTCTTGCAGAGGTTCCGGTTCTGTGGCGATTTGGACTGTCCCGACTGGGTCCTGGCAGAGATCAGCACACTGGCCAAAATTGTTAAGTGCACTGGTTTAGGATTGGGACGAGAGAGGCCTGAGGGTGGAAGGAGGACATTGAGACTGGGAGCTGGCGGTGGGTTCACGTGGTGGAGTCGTCTCTGAGGATGGGGCCTCCATGCTCTGTGGCCTTGGTCACATGGCTGGCCCTCCTTTAGCCAATCCCCCAGCAGTGAGGGGTAAGGTAGGTCAGTCTGGCTGAAACAGGGACATCCTTTTTCAGTCCTCTGTGAAGCTGCGGCTGCTGTGTAGCCAGGTGCTAAAGGAGCTTCTGGGGCAGGGGATTGATGTGAGTACAAGTCCTGACACTCCACTGTCCAGTAACCTTATGAGGCTGGTCTTCAGCCTCCCAGCCCCTTGGATATCTCCCTTTCTTCTCTTTAGCCCCAACCCATTCTTACCACAGGATCTGGTTCAGGGGTAAGGGGCTGGTGACAGGGCTCTGGTACCCCCTTAGGACCTCCTCTCCCCATAGTATGAGAAGATCCTGAAGCTGACTGCTGATGCCAAGTTTGGTGAGTACCCTGAACGGGAACCACAGTCATCTTTGATCCTCCTGCTTCAGTGGCAAACAGGACGACAAGAACTGTATTGACAGCCCGGTCCTCACCCTCTGCCACCATCTGCCGGTCCCATAGCAATGCATGGGGTTCAGGAAATTTGGGACCCAAAGCTGGAGATGGGGGGCAGGGAGGTGGTTGGGACCACAGTGGCATCCCCCGTGTCACTTGTGGGTCTCTAGAGTCTGGAGATGTGAAGGCCACCGTCGCAGTGCTGAGTTTCATCCTCTCTAGTGCAGCCAAGCATAGTGTGGACAGCGATTCCTTGTCCAGTGAACTGCAGCAGCTGGGGCTGCCCAAAGGTACAGTGGAAAACAGGCGGAGGGAAACCTCTGGGTAGGGCTTCCTGGAAAATACACTGAGACCTGCCTAGCCCTGAGATTCTCCCAGTCCTCTGTGGGCCCTGCAGCCCGAGACCCACCCTTTAAGCCCAGTGCCAGCCTCCACCTGTCATCTCAGCAGAACCCCCCCTCAGAGTTCTGTCTGCCTGCAGAGCACGCCACCAGCCTGTGCCGCTGTTATGAAGAGAAGCAGAGCCCCCTACAGGAGCACCTGCGGGCCTGCAGCCTACGTGGTGAGTGAAAACAGCCCGGCGGCCCTGGGCTGTGTGCTCTAGAAGATACATGCACAAGCCAAACACCGTTGCTCTTGGGGGAAGAGAGCAATACAGAACAGTTGGGGAGTTGAGACCTGGCCGAGGGTCTCATGACTATGGCCCGAGCTTCCTGAGGTTCATGGTAGATATTCTGCCCTTACAGCAGGCCTGGGTTGGAAGGCAAGAGCTTTGTAGGTCACACAACCTTGAAGGGTTGTGAGCCTCACCTCGCTGTGGACTGAAGTGGAGAACTTCCTGGCTTGCCTCGGGACTAACCGCCTAACTTCTTGCCTGCAGTGAACAGGCTAGCCAGCGTGGGCTGGCGGGTAGACTACACCCTGAGTTCCAGCCTGCTTCATTCTGTGGAGGAGCCCATGGTACACCTGCAGCTACAGGTTGCGCCCGCTTCAGGTACCCCAACCCAACCTGTTTCCATGTCGCTCTCAGCAGACAAGTTCCAGCTGCTCCTGGCAGGTAAGGTTGGACCTGCAGAGGTTGGGGCCCCTCCCAGGTCTGGCTGCCTTGGAACTGGCTATAAAAGCCAGGCTAGCCTCAGACTTGCCTCTGCTTCTTAACTGATGCTCATGTGCCCTCCTGTCCCCTGGAGAACTGAAGCAAGCACAGACCCTGATGACTGCTTTGGGCTGAGAAGGGTGTTCTTCTGTGGAGCCGTCCTTCGTGAACTGAGTGACTTCCTTCTACACTCCTCTTGCAAGGGTGGCCCTGACCTCTTGAGTCCTGGGTAGGGAGGGCTACTAAGGATCTTCCCCAGAATTGCCTTCTTTCTTTTGAAAGAAAGTACTTGTCAACCATTTTTATGGGCAAGAAGAATAAACAAGTGTACAGCGTGTGTATGGGTCTTGCTTGCTTTTGTTGATGGTGTTGTTCTTTGAGACAGGACTCCGGATGCCAAGTTGGACTCCAACTCGGTATCTAGTTGAAATTTTAATCCTCCTGCCTTTACATCTTGAGTTCTGAGATTGCAGTCATGCACCACTGACTTGGTTAGGGTTTCCATTGCTGTGAAGAGACCCCATGACCAAGGCAGCTCTTATAAAGGAGAACAGTTCATTGGGACTGGCTTACAGGTTCAGAGGGTTAGTCCATTATCATCATGGCGGGAAGCATGGCAGCGTGCAGGCAGACATGCTGCTGGAGAAGCCAAGAGTTCTACATCTTGATCCGCAGGCAGAAGAAAGAGACTGTGTGTCACGATAGGCAAAACTTGAACATAACAGATCTTAAAGCCCGCCCTACAGTGATATATTTCCTCCAACAAGGCCATGCCTCTTTTTTGTTTGTTTGTTTTGTTTTGTTTTTCAAGACAGGGTTTCTCTGTGTAGCCCTGGCTGTCCTGGAACTCACTCTGTAGACCAGGCTGGCCTCGAACTCAGAAATCCACCTGCCTCTGCCTCCCAAGTGCTGGGATTAAAGGCGTGCGCCACCACTGCTCGGCAAGGCCACGCCTCTTAATAGTGCCACTCTATAGGGGCCAAGCATTCAAACAAGTGAGTCTATTGGGGTCATACCTATTCAAACCACCACAAACAGCATGCCTGATTTATATGGTGCTGGGAACAAGCCCAGGACTCCATGCATGCCGGGCAAACTCTTTACCAACTGAGCTACAGCCCCAGCCCAGGAAGGAGAGAGCAGGTGACATTCTGACCAGCCTGCCCATCACTCACTTGCTCAATACTAAGACTGAGGACCAGCAGGAACAGTGTGTCTACAGATAGGCGAGCTGGGGTGCTAGCTCTGTCTTGTGATCCTCTTGGCTCTGCCCTTTCTGTGCAGTCCTTGTCTATAGGCTTGCAACAAGTGACACTGATGCCAGTGCCTAAGGCAGAGAAAAGAAAGCTTTTCCTTGCTATCGTTGCTAGGGAGAGAAGAATCCAGGCCTGAACTTGTTAGCAACAGGTTAGGTTAGGTGCTGCAAACTGAATATCCACATTCCCCAGCTGTCTTAGGGTTTTACTGCTGTGAACAGACACCATGAATAAGGCAACGCTTATAAGGACAACATTTAACTGGGGCTGGCTTACAAGTTCAGAAGTTCAGTCCATTATCATCAAGGCAGGAGCATGGCAGCATCCAGGCAGGCATGGTGCAGGAGAGGAGCTGAGAGTTCTACATCTTCATCTGAAGGCTGCTAGCAGAATACTGACTTCCAGGCAGCTAGGATGAGGGCATTAAAGCCCACATCCACAGTGACACACCTATTCCAACAAGGCCACACCTACTAATAGTGTCACTCCCTGGGCTGAGCATATACAAACCATAACACCAACACATTCTGAAGCTGTCCCTCTGTACATGCATCTAGGAGGACTATGTACAGAGAATAGCTGGCTGCCTACAAGCCAGGAACCCCCCTCCCAGGGAACAGAACCTGCCTGCACCTGTGTGTTTGCCCTCCTGAACTCCAGAATTGAGAAATTTGTCTATTGAATCTGCTGTTTCATTGTAGCTGCCTAAACTAAGACCCGTAGTCTCCCAAGATGGAAGCAGACTAGCCAGTTGCTCTTTACAAAAAGGCTCGCTGTAGAGTCAGGGCAGGGAGAGCCTGGAACATCTCACAGTGTGAGGAAGTTGTCAAAAGAAGCCAACCAGTCTGTTTTGTTTTGTTTTTTCGAGACAGGGTTTCTCTGTGTAGTCCTGGCTGTCCTGGAACTCACTCTGTAGACCAGGCTGGCCTCGAACTCTCGAACTCAGAAATCCGCCTGCCTCTGCCTCCCAAGTGCTGGGATTAAAGGTATGCACCACCACCACCTGGCAGAAGCCAACCAGTCTTACTACCCAAAGGGAGAGAAATTTTTTGTTTTTGGTTTTGGTTTTTCGAGACAGGGTTTCTCTGTGTAGCTCTGGCTGTCCTGGAACTCACTCTGTAGACCAGGATGGCCTCGGAATCAGAAATCCACCTGCCTCTGCCTCCCAAGTGCTGGGATTAAAGGTGTGCGCCACCACTGCCTGGCCAAAGGGAGAGAATTTGATCATCAAAATAAGCCAAGGACTGAGGCAGGAGGTTGTGCCTCACACCTGTAACCCTAATAATATTTAGGAGCCTGACTCGCTACAGCCAAGCTATAACGTGAGACATTGTCTTAAAGAAAAAAAGTTAAGAAAGAAAAAGAAATGCCATGAAAAATTCCCAGAGATGTCCATACAGCTTCCCCCCTGGGCAGCACCACTCTTGTGTCCTCACAGGGTTCTGGGTGTCACTGCTCTTACTCTTGGGACAGTACATTGGAATTTTGTTATTCATCTGTCCCTTTGACCAGCCTAAACTGTTTGAGCTGGCGTTGCTTTCATTTGAGTCAGGCTCTGTGTAGCCCAGGCTGGCCAGGAACTCATTATATAGCCCAGGCTGGCTTCATTTAATCCTTTGGTTCAGGGGCCAGATTGGGATTACAGGCATAAACCACCATCCCTAGTGCCACCCTGAGTTTCGTGAAGAGAGAAATTAAGTTTCTATGTTTCTAAAGCCCTGGTTCTCTTCCAATAGCTGCATGTGGGGGTAAGGGCTACACTGGTGTTTGCTTTGTTCCTTTTTGAACTAGGGCTCACTGTGTGAACTCCAGCTCACCTGGAACTGCCCATAAAGGCCACGCTGGCCTCAGATTTACTTCTGCTTCTCAGCACTCCCAGCAGCGGGATGCGGCAGCAAGCCCACTTCACTTTAATATTCCAAAGTGCAGTCAGGAGTTTCAGGACTTCAAGGTCATCCATGGCAACATTCCTCTGGCCTGTGTTACACAAGACACCATCTTCAATTAATGAATTAATTAAAAACCTGGGCCTAGCCGGGCGGTGGTGGCGCACGCCTTTAATCCCAGCACTTGGGAGGAAGAGGCAGGTAGATTTCTGAGTTCGAGGCCAGCCTGGTCTACAGAGTGAGTTCCAGGACAGCCAGGATTACACAGAGAAACCCTGTCTCGAAAAAAAAAACAAAAACAAACAAACAAAAATCTTAGACAGCGTTGGTGGATTATACCTTTAATCCCAGAGTTGGTGGATTATACCTTTAATCTCAGCACTCTGGAAGCAGAGGCAGGAAGGTCAATGATCTACATAATAAGTTTCAGGCAGCCAGGGCTACATAGAGAGGGACATTGCCATCCACCCCACCCTTCATTAAAACAAAAACCAAAGTCACAGTCAGTAAGGTGAAACTCATTTTTACAGAAATCGCAAGTAGTTGCTATGTAAGTGTTGACAGAATACAGCCAGATACAGTGGTGCACACCTGTAATCCCAGCACTGGGGAACTGAGGGCAGAGGATTAGAGTCCAAGTCCAGCTTTGCTCTACAGGCAAGCAGGATACAGGCGACATTTAAAAAGGAGTAGGAAGAGGGGGAGGAGGTCAGTATTCCGTAACTGCTAAGATCTGAAGTGGGGAGCTTGGCCCACTGGTACAAACCTATCATCCCAGCTGCTCCAGAGGCTGAAACAGGATTTTGGGGATGGTCATAGGCTCTCTGGGGAGGCTACTTAGTGAATTTAAGTAGCATTTGCCCAGAATGGCTTCAGCCTCCAACATGAAGAAGAAAAGGCTAAGGGGTACTGATTCCTAATTTAATCTCTGTAGCCTTTCAGGCAAGTGGTTTACATCCCTAATCTCAGTACTTGAGAGGCTGAGACAGGAGGATGGCAGTTTTCACAACTTATTAAAACTGTTGTCTTAAGGTAAATCTTTTTTTTTAAAGTTGGTGATATAGCTGAGAGGTAGAGTTTGCCCAGAGTTCATGATGCCCTGGGTTCAATCCTCACTACAAATAAACAAAAATTACTGATTGTGACAAATCTTCAAAGGTTAGAAGCCTTTGGATGAAATGTTGATTAGGAGGTCCTATGAGATGGCTCAGTGGGTCACTGCCCCCAAGCCTGGTGACCTGAGTTTAATCTCTGAGGTCTAAATAGTGAAAGGAAGAATGAACTCCAGAAAACCGTCCCCTGACCTTCACAGATACACACTATCCAGGGCACAAGTGAGCCTCATCTCCACACAGTAAAAAGCCTTTAAAATGTTAAGCTGGGAAGCCGGGCAGTGGTGGCACACACCTTTAATCTCAGCACTTGGGAGGCAGAGGCAGACAGATCTCTATGAGTTGAGGCCAGCCTGATCTACAGATCAAGTTCCAGGACACACAGGGCTAATCCAGAGAAACCTTGTCTTGAAAACCCTAAGAAAAGGAAAAAAAAAAAGAAAAAAGTTAAGCTCGGTGTGATAGTCCATACCACGAAGCCCAGCACTGCTGAAGCAAAGATCTCTGTGAGTTCTAAGCCAGCCTGTTGAGTTCAAAAACAGCCTCTACAGAGCCAGTTCCCAGGAAAACCAGGGCTACACAGAGAGACCCTGTGTTTTAAAAAAAGATTTTTAAATGTTGATGTGAAAGTGGATATTTGCATGGTGGTAAAGAAACAATCACAAATATACCCAGATGTCCTCCAGGCGGGAAGTGCATAAACAAAGTGGCTTGTCTCCACGAGAGAATATTTGGCTTTTAAGAAGAATGAGCTACTGAGAATAACTGTATGGGCAAATTTGGGAGCAGAAGATAAAATATACTCCCTGATTTGTGACGAGAACAGTTAACACGGGCCACTCAGGCATAAAGGCACTTGCTTTCTGATCCTGGAAACCTATGTTAAAAAAAAAAAACAACAACAGGATGTAGTAGCAAGCATCTGTAACCCCAGCACTCTTAAGTCCAGATGGGAGGTGCAGGCAGGAGAACTGTCCAGAAGCTCTGGGGCCAGCTAGCCTGGAGTACAGTACAGCAGCATCAACAAGAGGCCTGCTTCAACTGGCAGGAGGGACCTGATAGTGCTCTGGCCTCCGCATGTGCACTGTGGTACACGAATGCCCCCATCATATACATGGTACAATGATAAAAAAAAAGAATCCAGCACGAGAGCCGTCCCATTAAAACTGTTGTACAACAGTGTTAGCTACAGATCGCACGCTGCACTTGTTCATCTTGGGCAACTGAAACTTTATTCCTGCTATCGACCTCCCCAGACCCATGTTCAACAATCATTCTCCTCACTCTGTGTGTTTGATTCATGTGGACCTGTCACATAAATGGACTCTCAGTGTTTGTCCTTCTGTGACTGACCTATCATCTAGCATGATGTCATTAAAGTGACCTATGCTGCTACCTGTGGCAGGCAGTGTATAATATTCCACTCTGCTTATATTCACGAGCTGTGTTCCTTAAGACTTATTTTTATTATCTCCCTTCCCACCCCATGTGTGTGTGAGCTTGCTAGTTCACGCTTGAACATATGGGCACAGCCACCTGATGAGACCAGAAGTTTCAGATCCCCTTGGAGCTACGGTTGTGAGCTGCCATATGTGTGTGCTGGAGACCAAGCTTGGACTTGGTCTTATGTCACTGTTGCAGGATATTTGATCACACTGTGAACCCTGAGATTGTATTATGTACCGGAAAAACAAAACAACAAAACAAAACAAAACAAAAAAACCCTGTTTCTGGTTTAGTGCGGCTCAGTCCTTAGTACACACCTTTAATCCCTCTGACTGGAATACAGACACACCCTCAGTACACATCTTTAATTCCAAACAATAAAAGTAAAGTTTGTAAAAGGAAGCACTCATGTTTGAAAGTGATGTCTAATTGAGAGGCAGAAAAAGTGACAAGTCAGAGAAAGATCTGACAATAGGACATGCCCAACTCTCAAGAGAAAAGAGAGGGGTGGGAAGCTACTTAAGAGATAGTGCAGAGAAAGCAGGAGGCAGTTTTATGAAACAGTTGTACATCTGTACAGACAGGTTGCAGAGAGAGACCAAACTAGACACAGGTGAAGACAGAATGAGCCAGACAAAGAGAAGGAGCCAGAAGATCAGAACAGATTGCCAGAGTTAGTTTGAGGCCAAGCAGAGCAATTCAGTAAGAAACCGAGAGAAGCCAGATTGAATCAGTCATCTTGGAGAGGCGTTTGGGGCAGAACAGCTGAGTTGAATCAGCCAGCCAGAGTTTAGAAAGAACTAGAAAGGGAGCGATTATTCAGCATAAATCTCAGAGGCTGAAAACATTCTAGGCCTAGATTAGACTGTACGGAGACTAGAAGCTTCCAGCACTAGGCCTGGGTTAGCAGACAGAGGCAGTAAGCATCAGAAATGACAACTGCTTCAGAAGAATCAAAGTTACCTTACACACCATGGCAAGAGAAAAACAACTCACTATGTTTGTCAGGAGTAGAAGACCTTTAACCACTGAGCTACCCCCACCTCCCCCAACCCCTATCCCCCGCCCAGTAGATCTGTCGCATGTTTTAAAACTGTATCCATGGATGCATGTTGAGATGGTCTCCTCTTCATGGCTGCTGAGTGTGCTTTCTTGGGTGTCATCTGAGTGTGGGGAACCGGTGTTGTCATTACCAGGTTTTGTCACTCTCAGCCAGGGCTGGCAGCAAACACCTTTAATCCCAGCACAGGCAGGTGGAACCCTGAGTTTGAGGCCAGCCTGATCTACAGAGCAAGTTTCAGGTCAGCTAGGGCTACACAGTGAGACCCTATCTCAGAAAGCAGAAGCAGAACAAAATACAAACTCCCTTCATGCTGCAGGGCTGGAGAGATAGCTCAGCAGGCAAGAGCACCTCCTGCTCTTTCAGATGACCTGATTGACTTTGGTTCCCGGCACCCTACGGTGGAGCACAACAATCTAAAATTCTAGTTCCAGGAATCTGATTCCTTTTTCTAGACTCCAGAGTGAACCAGACAAGCACATGGAGTACATACAGACAGCTACATACATAAAATAAAAAGAAATAAATATTTTTTTAAAAAACCATACTCAAGCCAGGCATACTGGCTGTCTTAAGTGACTTTTCTATTTCTTTGACAAAACACCACGACCAAGGAAAGTTAGAGAAGAGTTTGTTGGAGCTTACAGTTCCAGAGGGTGAGTATGTGACCATCATGGCCAGGAGCACCGCAACTGGAAAGCAGGCATGGTACTGGCAACAGCTGACAGCTTACAGGTAGAGACACAGAAGGAGGTAGGGGGTGGGGCTCACTGGGAATGCCTTAGGCTTTTGAAACTTCAAAAACCCATTCCCAATGACACAATTTTTTTTTTTTTTTGGTTTTCGAGACAGGGTTTCTCTGTGTAGCCCTGCCTGTCCTGGAACTCACTCTGTAGACCAGGCTGGCCTCGAACTCAGAAATCCACCTGCCTCTGCCACCCAAGTGCTGGGATTGAAGGCGTGCGCCACCACTGCCCGGCTGGCACACCTTTTATAACAAGGCCATACCTCCTAATTCTTCCCAAACAGTTCCTCCAAGTGGGGATCAAGTATTCAAAACCACAAACCTACGGAGACCATTCTCATTCAAACTAAGACGGTGGCCCATACCTATAACCCCACTTCTTCCTGAGGAGGCAGGAGAGAGAGGATCAGGGTAAATTGGGGGCCAGTCTGAGTTCCAGGCCAACGAGGAATACATAGCAAGACCGTCTCTTTAACCTTCCTCTCCTAAAAAAAAATATCAGAAGTGAATAATGAGTGGGTGGCTGGAGAAGCAAGGAAAAAGTGTGTAAAAGGGCGCATCACGGCTGGTGGTCGGCCCGGGCACCCTGCAGTGGTTTCTTTCTCCTTTATACTTGTTAATTCTGTTGCTTCAAGGCTCAGCCCCACCCATAGCTCTCTCTCCTCTTGTCCTCTCTAGTCTGCTCACTGCAGCCACACAGACCTTCCTCGGCCTCTGTTCTTGCACTTTGAATTAATCCCTTGTGTCTGGCAATAAGTATCTTTTTTTTTTTTTTTTTTTTTTTTTTTTGCCTGAGATTGTGACAATCAGACCAAACTTTTGCGCCTGACTCCTGACTTTACCTAACACTGCCCCCGAGAGAAGAAGCCCCTGTATTACTGCCGGATACACTTCCCCACGCCGCGGGCCGTGAAAAAAGTTGTTTATATGTTACATCTGACTGCTCATTGACGGGGCCATCTTGGGTCCCCAGGGATTGTTTATCGTGCACCTGTGTTTGTCCTGCATACAGCTGCATGTGGCACTACACAGTCAGTGCCGTTTCCGGCTGCTGGTGTCAATCCTGGCCAGGCTGACTGGTGACTTCAACTGCAGACACAGCTGCGACTCCCGGCAGCAGTTCTGACCGAGGCTCTGCTCACCGTAAGACGGGCTCTTTCGTCACCTCCGGGAAAAAGCTTGCACAACACCGGGATAACTAAGGAACTCCATTCCCGACTGCGCCGCCTGCCTGAGGAACTACATTTCCCAGCAGGTACCAGGGCGGCTACGTCGTTTCCCAGCGTGCCCTGAAGTTCGGCAGACGCTGGAATTAACCCCTTATTGGCTGCTGTCCCCAGTTGAGCAGCAACCAGAGCAGGTATCCAGGTTAGATGGGAGCGATTCGGGTCTTCAGTAGAACTGAAGATCTAAAGGATCTGCGAGCCCCGGAAAGACAGAAAACCCAAATTTTGTTGGGGGTGTGTGCCATCGCACACCTCGCAAAACTAGGACTCTGAAGGTTTTCCGCAAACCGAACCCTTTTTGGTGCCAAGCCCTAAAGCGTCTGCTTTAGATAAATCGCGCGTCTTCCGCACACCTACCTTCGCCTCAGATCCTTCAAGTAGCAAAGCGGGGGTGGGGGTTAGAGCGGAGTGAGAGCAAAGAACAAGAACCGGGTCCTTCCTGACACCCCTAGGGTCTATGAGAACAGGGCTGTGCACTGATTGAGCATTCCTTTCTCCTAGTTCTGCTTCCTGTCCTGACTAGAACGCAGCTGGGAGGGAGCCTCTCTGTTCTGGCTGAGTGGCCATGGCAGGCTAGGTCCCATTGGCCCAACACACGTTTGAGTTTCTACCTCCATGGAATGCTAAGCTAAGACAGATTCAGGGTCAGATTAAGCTGTGGTTGATGATCTGAGCCTTGCCTCTGGGATATCGTCAGGTAGAGGCCAGAACAGGTGCTGAGAAGCTTTGAACTCTGGGAGCTCCTAAGACAAGATGTGGATTAGGGAGAAAGAAAGCCTCCTTCAAACTTACTGTGTGCGGGATGAAGGACAGTAGGGGCAGAGGCCAGGAGTTGGGGACGAACAGGTTTATAGGTGGGTAGGGGAACTTGGGGGACTAGGTAATAGGCTCCAGCAAGGATCTGAACTGTACTCTAAAGCAAGATGTGGAGGCCATGGGAGGCAGCATTAGTGAGGAAGACAGCCATGCTGCCTCCCAGCTTCTGCTGCCTGGTACCCAGTACCTCGGATGGGTGACCAGGCCACCACTCCTTTGCCTATTCTATATGGCCCTGTGCCTCTCTGCGTCTCTGACTTTTCCTCTGTTAAAAACTTGGGTGATAACTCCTACTTAATAAGACATCTTCTGGCACAACCTGTTGTCCTCTTCCTACTACAGGGCCCAGCCATTCCCCCTGCAGAATGCCAGAGGGCCCAGAGCTGCACCTGGCCAGCCACTATGTGAATGAGACATGTAAGGGGCTGGTATTTGGTGGGTGTGTGGAGAAGTCCTCTGTCAGCCGAAACCCGGAGGTGCCCTTTGAGAGCAGTGCCTACCGCATCTCAGCTTTAGCACGAGGCAAGGAGCTGCGCCTCACACTGAGCCCCCTGCCTGGGTCTCAGCCCCCTCAGAAGCCACTCTCCCTTGTCTTCCGCTTTGGTATGTCTGGATCCTTCCAGCTGGCACCAGCAGAAGCACTGCCGCGCCACGCCCATCTACGTTTTTACACTGCCCCGCCTGCCCCCCGGCTTGCCCTTTGCTTCGTAGACATCCGCCGCTTTGGCCACTGGGACCCTGGGGGTGAATGGCAGCCTGGACGTGGACCCTGTGTCTTGCTGGAGTATGAACGGTTCAGGTAGGACTGGACATGTGGAGCACCAGACCAATAAGAAACAAATCCCAGCCCCTGCTAGGCCTCAGTCCCTCATCTATCGAGATGGTGTCAGGGCAGGCAAAACTATAAAACTATAAGAGAGCAGTCCGAAGGACAGAGACCAGTCAAAGGTCCGAGGACACAGAAACAGCAGCCCACTGTGCCCCCTGGTGGCCCCAGGCCATCAAGGAAGGCCGAGGGCTTTCATAGTACTTAAGAAACCTGCACGCACAGTGGGGAGAGGATAGCCTAGTGACTGAGTGTCTTTCTTTCTTTCTCTTTCTTTCTTTCTTTCTCTGTTTCTTTTTTTTTTTCTTCGAGACAGGGTTTCTCTGTGTAGCCGTGGCTGTCCTGGAACTCACTCTGTAGACCAGGCTGGCCTCAAACTCAGAAATCTGCCTGCCACTGCCTCCCGAGTGCTGGGATTAAAGGCGTGCGCCACCACTGCCCGGCGTGACTGAGTTTCTAAGTCAGGTTTTGGTTCTCTATTCTGGTTGCTTACCTGTTTGTGTCCTGGGGCTTCCCCTGTGACTGTCCCTGTCATCAGAACCTGCCTCTAAAGAGGCAATAAGAGTCTTTGCTGTGAGACCGGCTCTATAGGGGACAGCAGTGGACAAAGCAAACGTGGTCCCTTTGTTCACCACACTGATGATGGACAGGTAAGACAGGGGGCTAGGAGACTTTGGCCCAGGGTGGAGAGCACAGGCATGGCCATTCTAGGGAAGTGACCTTCAAGCTGGGGTTTGGCAGACTAAGCCTGCTGTTTGAATCTTGAAGGAAAGTCTTGCTGGCAAGAACTTGAGGGGTGCAGGCCTGGAGTGGATCTGGCATGTTCTCATTTTCCTCCCTGGGAATCGATGTTGTGTCTCTGTGGAGCCCTAGACCTGGTCACATCTCTAGTGTCACAGAAGCAGTTGACTCCTGGCTTGCCTGTAGCCCTGGCTTATTGTTGCTTCATCTTTTCCGGGAAGTTGAGGACCATAGGGTGTTTGGCTACAGGATCTGTTGAGTCTCTCAGCTGTTTACATAGACCAGCTGGGTACCCTGGGGATGGAGGTCAGAACCACACTGAAGCTCCTGCCTTTTTTTTTTTTTTTTTTTAAAATCTCAGAATTCATCACACACATGCTACCACCTTCTGGTCCTTTATACTTTGAGGGAGTTGGGGATGGGGGGTTTGAGACCGGACTTCACTCTATTCCAGGATAGCTTGGTATTTGCTATATCCTCATAGCAGTAGGGTTACTGTCTCAACCTTCCCAGTGTTAGGATTACAGGTATGCCACTACAACTTGGCACGTCACACCAGGCCTGTGTGTGAGTGTGTGTGTGTGTGCAGAGTCTTTTTATGTAGCCCTGCCTGGCTCCAAACTTGCCTCTATTCTTCTGTCTCAGCCTTCCAAAGTGTTAGGATTTACAGGGGAGAATCACCATGACTAGCTGACATGTTTTGCTTCTTTAAAAATAAACTTAATCCCAGGTTTTTCCCATTTAACAACTAGAGAGCCGGGAGGTGGTGGTGCACGCCTTTAATCCCAGCACTTGGGAGGCAGAGACAGGCGGATTTCTGAGTTCGAGAGTTCGAGGCTAGCCTGGTCTACAGAGTGAGTTCCAGGACAGCCAGGGCTACACAGAGAAACCTTGTCTCAAAAAACCAAAAAAAAAAAAAAAAACGGGCCCGCCCAAAAAACCCCCCCCAAAAAAAACCCAACAACTAGAGAAACTGAGGCTCCAGCTGCCCGAATATTACTGAGCCCAGAGGGAGCCAGGATGGTTTCTCCTTGCACTCAGGAACAGATACCCCAGCCCTTCTTCCCTATCCTGGGATGTGGGATGGGTCTCATGCATCCAGTCTATGTCCCTCCAGAGAGAATGTACTTAGGAACCTATCGGACAAAGCCTTTGACCGGCCCATCTGCGAGGCTTTATTGGACCAGAGGTTCTTCAATGGCATCGGGAACTATCTTCGGGCAGAGATCTTGTACCGGTCAGTGGGCAGGCTGTGGGTGTGACAATGGCTGGGGTGGGACATGGGTCTCCACATCTACTACTTAGCCTTGACCTTCTCCACCAATCCAGGCTGAAGATCCCCCCTTTTGAGAAGGCCCGTACAGTTCTAGAGGCCCTGCAACAGTGTCGGCTGGTGAGGACAGTGTGCAAGCACGTGTGTGCTGGCTCTCCTGCTGCAGCGGGTGGCAAGGGTGTGTAGAGAGTCAGGTGTGTCTACTTTAGCTCACCATGTGTGTGTGGAGTGGGTGCAAACCACATTAAAAGTCTTGCCGAATGCAGAGAAGTCCATTGCCTTCAGTGTGTGAGGCAGGGTGGGTACCCTGTGTTGACACCTTGTCTCTGCCCATTACCCCCTTCAGAGCCCAGAGCTGACCCTGAGCCAGAAGATCAAGGCCAGACTGCAGAACCCAGACCTGCTGGAACTGTGTCACTTGGTGCCCAAGGAAGTGGTTCAGCTGGGTGAGGCCTGGGGAGATCAAGATGGCCAGTGGTCTCTGCTGTAGCCTTTGTGAGATGCTGGACAGCTGTCCTGGCTCAAGGGATGGGCGTTTGTTCAACATACCAGGTCTCTTGGCAAGTTTCCACTTTCTACCAGCTTTGCATGCAGCAGATGGGGCAGAGAGTCACCCTTGCTGATGAAGAGGCCAGAGAGGGAGGACACGGGCCTAGTCACAGTGAGAGGAGGCAGTGTGGCCTGACTCAGTCTGTCAGTTTCTTTAGCTGAGGCCTGAATCAGGTTGAACCGGGCTCTCTGTTCCTCCCACCCCACAAGACCCTCTCACCTCTGACCAGTTCCTCTGTCCCTCAGGGGGCAAAGGCTATGGGCCTGAGCGTGGAGAGGAGGATTTCGCTGCCTTTCGAGCCTGGCTTCGGTGCTATGGCGTGCCAGGCATGAGCTCTCTGCGAGACCGGCATGGCCGTACCATCTGGTTCCAGGTTTGAGTTCTGTACTCGGTATTGGCAAATGGAGACCCCAGGGAAGCCGGTGGGTCACAAGGTAGAAGGTAGAGGTCTGAGTAAGGAAATGGCCTTGCCACTCCAAGGAAAAGCACCCAGGTTGACTCCAGAGTTATCCCCATTCCATTTTAGGGTGACCCTGGACCCTTGGCACCCAAAGGTAAGTAGCTCATAGTGTAAGAGATAAAGAGCTGAAAGGACCGTGGACCTTGCACGCCCATCCTCCCATCCCTCTCCAACCTTGGAATCACCCAGCAGTAAGAGTCTAGAGAGGGGCTGAAGCCCTAGGGCGCTCTAGCTCCAGTACAACATTCTACAGGGCGCAGATCCCGAAAGAAGAAGTCGGAGGAAACACAGCTGGGGGCTGAGGACAGAAAAGAGGTATGACTGCCAACCCTGCCTCTGCACTTGCTCCTGCCCAGCTGTCTCCTTCCGTCGCGGGAGGCTTGGGGCCTGGTTGGGAACGGCAGTGGTGGGTCCTAACGAACATGTGACCTGCTAGGAAGAAAACCCAGTAAGGACCATCTTCTCTATGCAGGACCTTCCCCTTGCAAGCAAGTCCACTTCCAGGACGCGGAGGGCCAGGAAGCACCCTCCTAAGAGTATAGCTCAACAATCTGAAGGGGCCAGCCTCCACCAAAACCGGGAAACACCTACAGCCCCCGAGAAAGGAAAGAGAAGGGGGCGACAGGCAAGCACAGGTGAGCTGTTTTCAGCACCCTCCTTGAGCTGGGAAGGGGGGGGGGGGACTCCAGGGAGTGGCTCTTCACGGAGGATGGGAGGTAATGCAGGGTCAACAGGGGGCGGACACACAGTCACTGCCTCACCTGCTGTCCCCACAGGCCGCCGCAGACCCACGAAGAGTAAGCCTGACACCCAACCCATGGAGGCTGGGGAGAGTTCAGCCTCATAGATGGAGGCCTTGCTCTGCATCTAGGGGCATGGCTGAAGCCCTAAAAGCAGCATTTGTAGGGCTGCATGCCCTAGGCCCTGTGACTTTTCCTGCACAACTGTTTTCTGAGTCAGGGTCTCACATGTCCTGCCCTTGAACCCATATGGACCTGAAGATGACATTGTCTCCTGTTTGATTGTCCTGCCTTCATTTCCATGGTTGCTCGGATTCAGGTGTGAGCCGAGCCACCACGCTCCGCTGACTGATTTGTTGTTTGCTTTTTCAAGACAAAGGTTTCTCTGTGTAGCCCTGACTGTCCTGGAACTCATGCTGTAGATCCGGCTGGCCTCGAACCCAGAGATCCGCCTGCTTCTGCCTCCCAAAATGTTGGGAAATGTATGCCATCTTTAACAATTTTTTTTAAAAATCCCAAGTAAAAACCACTGTCCAACTAGTAAATGTGAACTTCTTGGTACTTCCTGGGCTGGCTACATACATAAGGCACGAGAAAGCCAGGTTGGAAAGGCAGGCTGCATGGCTCTACCGGTTTATAGATTTAATCCCCTGCCTCCCCTTCCCTCCCTCACATACACTCAAGGCCCTGACTGTCAGAGGACAGACATTCTGCCTGTGCAGAGCCAGCCCCTCTGCAGACCTGGGCCCAGGCAGTCCAAGGAGCCATGGCTCTTTCCGTCCAGGATTCATCAGGGCTTGTGGTTGTCTGTTCTCTCAGCTTAGCGCTTGTCCACAGCTTCCCTCCCAGTTGAGGGTGGAGGGGTGAGAAGATATGGAAGTCAGGAGGTGGCGGGCTCCACGCCTCTAATTCCTCTGCTGACAGAAGCAACTTTTTATCTCAAAGTCCCTTGGCTTTTGGGCCCTGAGGTCTCTAGTATCTCAGATGGGGGCCACAAGGCAGACCCTGCACACACAGGCAACCTTAAGTCTTGCCCCTGGAAACACTCTCCGTCCTCCTTACAGCCCGTGCAGAGCAACCTTATGAGAAACAAAGGCACACTCACAGGGCTGCTAACCTAAGCATTTATTGCACAGGATGCTTCGGGCTGGGAAGGGAAGTGAGGAGCTCCCAAAGCTTCCCACAGTCCAGACTCAGTTTGGAGGAGGCTGAAGCACAAGCAGTAGGGACCTCACTTGAAAGGGAGAAAAGGTGAGCTTCAGGCGGTTGTCCTGAAAGGACAGGTGACCAGTGGGGTCTCGCTGCTCCAGGAGGTCACAACTAGATGGAGAACAGGAGAAGCATAATGAGGACCGACAAGGGCATGGCTCCCACCTCTACCTCTACCGAGTCTCCACTCACAGGGTGGCCTCCTGAACAGGCACTGATGTGTGTAGCCAGCAGTCCACATGGCTGCCATAAGCCTCATACATCCTTAGAACCAGTGTGCGGTGCTGATGGCTCATCTCAGCCTAGTAGAGGAAGGCAGGACGGTAGGCAGGGCCAAGAACTCGTGAATCCCAGAAACCTCCCCAGTCTACTCCGCCCTTGCCTGCTTGATGGTCTCCAGCACGACTGCTGGCGAAGATACGGAAAACGCACTCCAGGTGGTGTCAGGGGCCGGGCCTGGAGCTGGCAGTGCCAACAGGGGGAAGTTGAGGTTGTAGGCGGCCTGAATAACGCCAGCTTCTTGGAAGGAGCCTGAGGTACGACCAGAAAGAAACGTGGACAGTGGGAGCTGCCTCCATTTATCCTGATTTACCCCAACGCCTTGGTTCACCCCTTACCTCAGGGAAGGGCAGAGAGGCTGGGCCCTGCGGCCCTGGTACATACCCTTGTGTGGCATCAAAGCATAAGTGAATTCATGGCGCCCCATGTCAGCAGTAGCATCCGGAGCCTTAGGTGCACGCAACCTGGAGTGGGAGGGAGAGACGGGAGGGCTGGAGTTCCAGCACCGGAAGTTCCCACAGACCCGAGCCAGCCCTGAGCCTAGTGGGCACTGCACTCACAGTGAGAGGCTGAGGACATTGCCTCGGACTGACGCTCCATACTTGCAGTTGTTGAGCAGGGCCAGCCCGAAGTCACATTCGGACAGATCTATCCAGCGGTGAGCCCACACCTGAAGGGCAGATCCAAGGCCTATGGGTGGCACCATCCCAGAGCCCTTTTCAGTCAAGTGACAGTAAGTTCTGGAGCCCATGGCTGCATCCTAGCTGCCACTCTTAGGAAGCTTGGGACATGCCATCCCACCTGTCTGGCTGCTTCCTCGTCTGTGAAACAGATGGCTATAGTACCTAACCAAACTCAAGCATGTAGCAAATGCCTGGCCCATGTTAGAAACCACAGGTGTCCGTCATTGTCGTCTTCTTGTTCTCAACCCACAAACAGTCTCTCCTCAGTCAGGGGTACGTCCAAGCCCCACCCAGTACCCATGTCAGACCTCATAGCGAGCCCAGTCCCAAGAGGTGTTGTTGTGTGTCGGCCTCTGAAGGTGCCCAAACTGGATCTCATAGGTAGCCTGGGGGCTCCGTATTCGAGCAGGGAACTCCACCTTGAGGAACTTGTGGGCCTCGTGCCAGTGCACCTGGAATGGAGGGTGGGGACAAGAGAAGGACCTTGGGCTCCTCACCAGCCATACTCAGGAAAGATGGCCACTCCCCTGCTGTTTCTACCTCAGTGTGGAAGCGGACATAGGGGCAACCGACATCCAGCACAACCTCCTGACTGAGCCGGCTGTTGGGGCTGATCTGAAGCAGGAACCAGGCACTGCCCCGAAGGCCACCTTCAGTGCCCACTGCCAGGGTCCCTGCCTGGCCTAGCACAGGCTTCCTGTGGGATGAAGGTGGGCAGCACTCAGCCAGAGAAGCATGTATACACAGCCACTCCCAGCACCTGCCCAGTGCGTACCGTGTCTCTAGATGGTAGTCCATGACATCCCATGCGTCCCAGTACAATGGCACATCATCAAACAGCACAAACTGGTTCCCCAGGGCACCCTCAGCAATGGCTTCCCTGGAAGGCCATGGGGATTGGTGATCTCTCCAGCTATACTTGGTGGGGATAGGTTAAATAGGGCCAGGGGTTGGGGTACTGCTAGCCCAGCCTACCCTGTCCCATGTGTGGGTTCCAGCCTAGAGGTACATGTAGACTACTCGGGTGGTGTGGTGGCTAGGGAACAGAGGGACGACGGTACAGTTTGGGATGAACTAGCCAGGCGTGGGATTAAGAATAGTGAAGGGTCAGCACCTGCCAGAAGCCACCAGGACCAAGGAAGTGACACAGCCAGTTGGATCCAGTCTCACCCGGATGATGCCATTGTCCAGAGTCACAGAACCGTCAGTCTTGGAGGGGAGGGTCCTTGAGCTGAGTGAGTAGTGTTCCCTACCCCCAGGCCAACCCTCCTAAAGTCCCTTGCTCCAGACCAAGAAGAATCCCAGACTAGGCCCCACCCCATTGGGAGCTGCTAGGACTTACCTCCTGCATCACAAACACGGGCTGCTGGGGTAGGAGGGGCTGCAGGGAAGTAGGGGTGGGAGCAGGAGCATAGCCAATACTGGGCACTGTCACCTGGGCTGGGGACAAGGCCTGAGTATCAGTGTAGCCTCTCTGACACTCTAGAGACCTTGCCAGGTTAAGGAAAGGTTGAATGGGATAATACACAGCTACTTCTCTCCAGATTGGGGTACCCCAAGATAGAGATCCCTGGGGGAGTGTCCTTGCCATGCTGTCTAGCCTTAGTTTCTCCTGCTGCAGGACTAGCCTTCCCCTTCAGCTCATACCTAGGCTGTGAGCCCCACAAGGCTTGGGCAGCGCCAGCACTTCAGTGCGCTTCCAGGGCAGCGTGTTGATAATGAGGAGGCCCTCCGGACCTGGCTCCCCAGCACACAAGGCCGCGGTTGCCGCACTGAGCAGTGTATTGCCGTGAGAACGGATGTCTGAAGAGAGATGGGTTTGGCCACGGGTGAGCAGTGGGTCCCGCTTGGCCCTGCGAGCAGAGGGACTGGTACGAAGGTGGGCCTCACCTTCATAGTAGTTCAAGGCATCTTCTGCCACCAGCTGAATGCAGCTTCCGGTCACCACATCGTGGAACTGGTTGAGGAGCAGGAGCCTACAGGGACCAGAGACAGGAAAGGCTGGGAGAGGCAGGCTGTGACAGACGAGAAGTCAGGTGAGCAGCAGGACGGGGTACCTGGCTGACCTCCAGAGGTGCTGCAGCTGGGCTGCTGGGTACAGGAACTGGGCACTTCGGGCTAGGGCCAGGCTGCAGAGCAGCTCCACGTCATGAAGAATCTGCTCGCATTCTCGGTTCCCCTTCTTGAGCTGTGCACAGGGAGGGAGGAGCAACTTAAATTCTGCTGTGACCCAGGACACCTTCCTAAGCTCTCTTGCTCAGAACCCTTGACAGCCTCCCAAGCGCTCTTGAACATGGTCTCTCCTAGGAAAATTACCTCAAGTCACCTCTCACCCAAACCCTCCTCCTCGGGAGAGGCTCTGTCCCACCTGCTGCCTGTGTCGGATTAACCCAGCTCTGGTGCCCTTTTCCAAGCCTCTACTTGGAGAAGGAGCCCACTGAGCTCCAGCCCTGCCCCTCCCCATCCTTCCCCCACTGCCCTATGCATATCAAGGCCCTGTATTCACTGGGCTGGTGGCCTGGCCCTGACCTGGGCGTGGGTAGTATAGGTGCCATTGTGCAGTTCCAGGAAGAGTTCCCCAACCCACGTGCACAGCTGCCCCGAGTCTCTCTCCAGTGCCGTGAAGAGCTGTCCAGGAGAAGACAGCTGCACCCTGAGGAAGACCACAAGCCTAGGCTTCCAGTTGGGAGTCCTGTAGTTTGGTCTTTGTCTACAGTGCA